TGCTGCACCCTCATTTACATTCTATAGCAATATGCAATTATATTCTACAATAAAAAACATTTTGGGGGGATATAAATGCAGGTTCTTCCAGAGTGTGTAGACATGCCTATTATTAGTACCCCTTGCTACCCACTTCAAAGACCTGGGAAGCAATTCTGGTTTACCATTCTTCCAAATGGACTAATACCAGTTCTCATAAGGAACTCTGACAGCAGAACTCCAAATTTTGGGTTTCTATTTTTACTTTTATTTGTGGCGGAAGGGGCTAGAAATCTGACAACTAGTCCCAACTGTCTTTCCAGTTGTTCCTGTCAACTGGCTTTGTTACTTATACTCCTCTATTAAGGGAATTTACTGCAAACTAGGCATAGGGTCTGAAACTACACTGCTAAAAGCTAGACAACCACCTAAAACAGTCTAGAAAGATGGGATAGTAACATCATCAATTATTTTTGATGCTTATTGATTTAAAAATGTAGCCAACTGCTTTCTTTATGCATCTCTCACTTTGGGGTGGACTGTAAAAGAAAAGAAACGTATCCATTCCCAGAGTGACCAGTTCCTTTGAAAAACTGACCCTCTCCAATTCAGAGTGGTGTGTAATATTACAACACTTCTATTTTGGAGATCAGGGTCTGTATGAACCAGAGGGCCTGATCCTGCTCTAAATTTAGTTGAATTAAAAAAATTGGCAAAAACAGTTACCCCTCAAAGTTCTTTTAAATAAGTCTAAAATTGCATTTATCCATAAAAGTTTCACACTACAATCCATGGTGCAGCTTTCATCAGTACTGTCATCAGCTGTGACTGCATGGGACCAACAGAGGGAGATTAATCTAGTATCCTGCTAGAACCATCCTAACGGGGTCGGCTGGGATGTTGCTCCAAAAACCTGAAGGATAAGCTAATATATTGAAAGCACATGCACCTCAAGTGGTTATATACCCCTGGCTAAAATATATATGTAATAAGAAGTAGTACAACCTTGCCCCATTAAAAATGGTAGGTAATTAGGCCAGAAATAAAATACAAAAGCTCACCTTGAGAACTAAGCATTTCTAAGCTAGGCAAAATCATCTCAGCTCCGAATGTGGCTTGTTTTAGATGAGAGGCAAGTTAAAGGGAATTCAACAGATTTTCAGATTTCTGTAATGAATCGGTGTGAATAAATGTATTGCTTCACAATGAAATGGGACAGTTTAAACTGTTAATTATGCAAGTCAATAAAGGGCCATTAGGTGTCGCTACAGTACAAAAGAACACCATGTACTTACCCATGCCTCCTAGGACAAACAACAGGAGCTTCCAATCACCTTTACGCTAGCACACTTTGGACCAGTTTCCTTATTAATCTTTTCTATTTAAAAAAAGCTTAAGCAGCCAGCACGCTGGAAAATGATCTGTCTAGCCATCACTGAAACCCAGCCACTGAACACCATCACCAATATCTCCATTTGCATGTAGCCATGATCAAGTTTTGAAGACTTAAGCTTGCTCTGTAAAGGAACATGTAATTATGTTAGATTCCAATTTTTAAATATTTTTCCTCAAACCAGTCTGCAGAATGTGTGTGCATGTGCACTCCTGAAGGAGATTAGGCAATCACACAGCACTGTTTTTTGTGCGCTTATGCAGAAAGTTGGGTTTATCATCAGCAGGAAGAGAAAGACAAAACAACTAGATCAAGCTAAATACGAAATTAAAAAGAAATGGAGCCCCAAACTTTGGAAACTTTTTAATTTATCACCTCGAGTGTCCTTTCAAAAGGAGAGCATAGCAGTGCCTGGGCTCTGTATACCCAGGGCAAGTATACAAACTCCCCACCCCTCCCACAAACTTTTTCCCACCCATCCAGGATACCCAAGTCTCCTGTGTTTCAGGGGAGTTACAGATGCAAAAGCCACTCAAGACTCCCAAAACTGGTAGCTTGGACCTCCCTTCTGGCCCACAAAGTTCTCCATTGTCACAGAATGCCCAACATCTACTCCTGGACTCGAAGATTGTAGGAACAAGCTGCCATAGATAGTTAAGACTTACTTGGCTTTGACCTGACTTCTCTATGCAGGTGACTCAGCTCTATTTTTCCATATTGGACCTGCCTAAAACAGAGTGGCAGGTTTGTAGACCATTTCCTTACAAATGTCATGTCATCAACTCCAAGTTCAACTTGGACAAAATAAAGGCTTCTATCCAAGCTCTACTTTTGGTTTACTAGGTTGGACAAGAGCAACATTCTTCCAGGCACTTTGATGTAAAATATATATATCCTCTTAGACACAGCTTTCATTTGACTTAGTCATCTAGGCAGTATTTGAGTTATTTGTTCATGTTCTACAACTTCGGCCTTTCTGCTGTTCACATCATCACACCTACCCTGAACTTCAACTACTGAAGCTGCTCCCCAGGATGATCATGCATACCTGCTTTGGTGGCCCTTTGTTCATTCCCCTTCTTTGCTGTCCGATAAGCTTATCTTTCTTTCTAGAAGCCTTTTATAACCTAGACTTGACCTATTAGTTCACAGGGGCACACCACCAACATTGCTCTACCAACTGCTCTACCTTTGGTGCTCATTAGGCCATTTCTCCCACAGAGACTTCATGGTCTCTTAAAATGATCAGGGACAAATTCCACGTCAGAAGTCCAGAGACATCTTCCGATTCACTTCTTGCTTACAGAGTACAGACTTCTGACAATAGCTGGGACACGATTACCATTTGTTATACCCCACATTTCCTATTGCTTGGATAGGATGACCCACCTCATTTAACCAGTTATGCATTAAAGTTCACGAGGAGCCTATACTGTCTAGATACCTCAGATACACTAAAGTCCTTAGGTGTCACTGTAACACACAAGTGCTTCCCTACCTAGTAGTATAGCATCCTCCTCCTGTGGTTATTCCCTTTACTCCCCATTTAGGGCTCACAGTTGCATCATGCAAGGCACCAGCAGTTAAATCCTTCTATGGTAGCAGCCATTCAGAACCTGTTTATTCTAAGTTGCTGGCATTAACTCATGTGCACAGTTGGAAGACATTTCCTCACACCATTTTGAATCTGGCCTTGGTACTAAAGTCTTGTTTTGATGGCTGAACCTGGCAAATGCAACTGAGAATCTCCAGACGAATATATACAGCACTTGTTAGTAGCTAGAATGGGTCAGCTGACACTCAGCAGGCTAAGCCATAGATTTATTTTCTTTCTTTCTCTCTCCCCTTCTCACTTTTTGTAGTGTTTAGACAGGACACTTGCTTTAACTGCAGTCATTAAACACTCAAATTTTGCTTGGACATTATTCATTCATTCAAGAAAAAAAAACAACCAACCAAGCATTCTATCCATTGTGGCATGCACTTAACATCTGATCAGCAGTCCTGCTAGATCTTTGCATTGCGTTCTGAGTATCAAACTACGTAGCCTGAGAAGCTGAAGTTCCTACCCTTACTTGGCCACAACTCTAGCCTGTGCTGCCACTCTTATTAGCAAGAAATGAGACACTGATATAAACAGGAGGGAGCTAGTGAAAAAGTGCTTATAGTACACACGAGCAATACTAAAGTTAACCAGCTAAGACTTGTGGAAGCTGCATGCTATAACAGCCACCAGTGTATTTCTGTTAGCTTCATTCAGTCCAGTGAAGAGGCTGCTAGCACGCATACTGTGCCTGGAACCCACAGAGAACAATTTACAGCGAGCTGACGGGAAGGGGAATTACTATTAACACTTCTTATTAACAGAATAAACAAACAGACAGACAAGTTTTGCTTGAAAATCTCTTCTAACAGTGCTTTTGATCCTGTTTATTTGCAGTCACCCTGTTTGGGCTAAATGCTCTGCAATGTTAATAGTTAGCATTTCTGTGAGCAGCCCTGAAGACAAGCCACATTGCCAGGCCTTCTCAGAAAGCTAACTCAAAAACGGTCATTAACAAAGGTCTCGTTGAAACACAAACCAGAAATATTCCGGCTTCCTCATCTGGCTACGATCACTTCCCCTTTGTAAACCAAGGAACAGGGGTTAATTTACTCACTCAAAATCAGTCAGAATCTGTCGCAGAACTGAGAACCTGATTAGCACTCTGATGCTAAGAGTGGATATACCTCTGTTCCTTATAACTTCCTTTTTCCCCAGCACACCCAGCTAGCAGAGCAGTTAGCCATGAACCATCTAGGACAGTGAGAGTTGCACGCAACCTTTCAAGAGTGAATAAGACTACCGTTTGCATTCCTGAGGTATTTGATGCAATTCCCAAAGTTTACAAATGTGCACAGAGGTACGGTTTGGGTAAGTCTAAGTTGAAATATTAGGATTTTGTAGCAAAGCAGGAAGCAGCTTGAACAAGTTCACTGAATGAAATAATATTCTACATGTGAGGTAGCCTTAAAGCAGACCTATTTCCTATATGGGGAAACCAGCTCCCAAAGAGTGTTCAATGGAAAGAGAGACCTGGAAAGCAGTAGCAACCACAAGTGGATCAGAGATTAGGATGAGTGCTTTCTTTTTGAGATTTGTCACCTTGGGCTGGATTTGAACCACATTTAGAACAGAGGGCCCTTCACATTTTGGATCCAATCCTGAATCAAGAACATGTAGACATTCTGGGATCAAGACCTTAGAAGCTGAGGCACAAGACTGAAAGGAAGAGAAGTGGTGCTGGCTCCTACCCTGGGGGTCTTTAAAAGGAGGCTGGATGTACACCTTGCTGGGGTCGTTTGATCCCAGGACTCTTTCCTACAATGGCAGGGGGTTGGACTCGATGATCTGCTCAGGTCCCTTCCGACCCTAAAAACTATGAAACTATGAAGGAAGCTTGATTTACTAATTGGACCAACAGGTAACTGGTGGGGCAGTTAAGGGGAACAGCAAGTTACAAATATCTACCATGAGGAATGGTGTATGTATGATTTTGAGTTTAAGAGGCACTACAGTGCAGTGAGCCAACAGCATCTCCTATTAGAGCACAGTATGTATTGTAACACTACAAGGTGACCAGAGTACTCACGTTTGTGTCATTAAGCTTCCTTCCAATTTGCACACATCCTTTAGGATTTTAGGAACCTTGGAATATGCTTGCCTATATTGTTGCGAAGAAGGCAGTTGGTAAAGTCATGAAGGAGGAAGATCCACCTGGCTGCAGCGCTGCTTTCTGTTCCATCTGGGATTCCTTCAAGCATAGAATAAAACAAGTTAAGACCATATTGGCTTACATAAACAAGTTAGACAGTGATGATATTTGCCAAGGCTCTGATTCCAATAACCAGTTTAACTGGTCTCCACTATTCTACCCAGCACCAGTTACTTTTTTCAGACTAGGGCCAGTCTCTAATCATCTAGCTTTGAAAGTCATCAGGATGCTCCTGTCATAATCAAATCAGGAAAACAGAGCTATGCAACTCAGTGGAATTCAGTAAAGTAGCCAGAGCTGCATGTCTGTTAACATTCTTGGCTATCCTTTGGCATGATTCCTTGTTATATCAGGTGAAATACTAGTCCCTGAAGGACCATTAAGAGATCACTGCATACTTTATCACTTATCCATTAGACTCACCTAATTACCAGTAAAGCCTCACAGGTAAGGAAGCATTTTCTATGGCTAATGACAAAAGCCATGAACTGACAGCATGAAAATATAGGCTATCCTCTTTAAAAAATATGCCTCTGCAAAGGTAGAGTATTTGGTATCACTTACATTGCTTCTCACTAACAATTTCCTTCAGTGTTTTTAGAAAGTTGCAGTTAGGAAGCTTCATTAATGATTTGGACAATGGGATTAAATGCATGCTCAGCAAATCTGTAGATGATACCAGGATGGGGGGAGTTGCAGACATTCTGGAGGACAAGACTAGGATAAAAAATTAAGTGGATAGACTGGGACAATGGTCCACAATCAATCATGAGATTCAACAAGGACAACTGCAAAGTCCTACACTTGGGTCAGCGTCACAGCACGACTGGACACCATTTGGGAGGGGTTTGCACAGCTCAGGAGGACTGCAAAATACCCAGGCAAAATGCCCGGAAAGGGCTGGAACTGTAAGTTGCTTACCTGATGCAGGTACAGGAATGGAGACCACGGAGCAGCGAGCAGAACTATCTCCATAGTTTATTAATAAATGCTCTCTGCGACTGGAGAGGTGCATGGGGCGTGAAGTCAGACGTCCATGCCAAGAACCAGCTGCAAGAGCCTGAACAAAACCGTATGGCAGGGTAGCAGGAAGCAGCCCAGTTGCTGTGAGCTCCAGAACGCCGAGACCAGGAAAGCACCAAGCCGGTTCCACAGCCGGGATACCCAGAGGGGTATCTTTCTCTTCCATGACCCAGGGCCTCCCTGAAAAGGATTTGTCCTGGACCCTAGTACTCAGACGTTAAAAGTGGGATGCGTGAGTGAGGCGGGGACATTACCACTTCTTTTTTTTGTTGTCCTATGGCTTTGTTTCTTTTTGTTGCGCTGTATCCTGACGGAGCCCTAGAACAGATCAAAGCCACATGACCAGAATTAATTATGTGATTATAAGAGTGGGCTACACGATCAGGGAGTTTGTTGAATTAAGAGTGCCCATTAATTCATTGGGGGCTCACTTGGCCTGAAAATTATTTATAAACTGACTTGATTTGTACTTTTTAGACCATCATGACTTAATTGATTTCAGATGTTTGTAATTAATTTGATCGTGAACTTCAGTGATTTATGTATTAATGTGAATACTTTGCTTTTGACTCATGAATTAATTATGGAAGAATTGAATCTGGAACATCTCAAGGGCAATCGAACTAATCACACGTGTCACGTCCCTATAATCAAGACGTTCTTGGAGAAAGAACAATACTAAACCTGGCTGGTTGCCTACAATTAGAATACCGAGCACCATAAGGCTGACGGGCCCAGGTTGGCATGTGGATGGGGTGTAGGGAAGGAGAAGCCCCAAGAAACACCTACAAATAGAACATGCCTTACGGTGGTTGACAACATACCTCCCCTTTATTTTCATTAAGATCAAGAAGTGGCAGGCAAGTAGAGGGGGACCTCCCACGGGGAGAATGTTCAATGTCTCAGTGTGTCAGCACAGACAGGGGTTTGAGCTCAGGCAGTGCAGTCCCAAGCTGTGCATCACTTACTCTGCTGGCATAGATGGGTACAGTCAGAATAACTGAATACACCAATGCAGACTGTGAAAAGATTGGCTGGCTGCAGTTCTGCAAAGAAGGACCTGGGGATTACAGTAGACCAGTGACTCTCAACTAGTGTGATGTGGGACCCTGGGGTGCCTTGAGATCTTTTTGAGGGTTCTGCTGCAGAGTGCCATGTCCCACTCTGGGTGTGCAAGCTTGATTTATAAGATAAACCCAGATATTTCAAAAAGGAATTCATACTGTTTAAACCCAGAAATTTCAAATAGGATTTCTTAGTGTTTAAAACATTCTGACCAGTTGTGGTTTGAGTTCTTTGCAACAGAAGAATTGCTCTATTGGTTTTCACTTTTTTTTTTTTTTTTTTTTCTTTTTTAAACTACAGAAAAAGAAGAGCTTGAATTTTCTGACCGGTGCCTCAAGTCTAACCACTGCAGTAGACCATAAGCTGAATAAGATAAACCACATAGCTCACAACCAAACCGTAAGCTAAACCACACAGCCAACAGTGTGTTCTTGTTGCAAAGAAGGTCAACAGCATATTCGGTTGTATTATCAGAAGCATCACTTGCAAATCAAGGAAAGTGATTCTTCTGCTCCGTTGACCATTTGTGAGGCCTCACCTGGAGTACTGTGTTCAATTTTGGGCCCCATGCTTCACAAAGGATGCAGACAGGTTGAAAAGAGTCCAATGAAGAGTGACAACATGATTAGGGGTGTGGGAAGCAAGACTTATGAGGAAAGGCTAAAAGAAGTATGGTTATTTAGTCTGGAGAAGGTTGTGGGGGCAGGGAGGGGATTAGATAACAGTCTTCAAATACCTGGAAGGTGATTACAGAGAGGGCAGAGGCAGGCTTTCCTCTGTGGCCTAGAAACAATGGCCTTAAGCTGCAGCAAAGTACATTTAAATTGGAGACTAGGAGGAACAACGGTTACAAACAAAGAACAATGATCACAAACTGGCTAAGAGAAGATTTGGGCTAGATATCAGGAAAAACTTCTTCATAGTAAGGGCGGTCAAAATTTGGAGTGGACTTCCAAGGGAGGTGGTGCTCTCCCTTACCTTGGGTGTCTTTAAGAGAAGGCTGGATACGCATCTGGCTGGGGTCCTCTGACCCCCGCCCTCTTTCCTGCCTAGGCAGGGGGTCAGACTCAATGATCGGTTGAGGTCCCTTCTGACCCTAGCATCTATGAATCTATTAACTTTCTGATGGGGGGGGGAGGGGGCGTCAAGCATAGGAACAGACTACCTAGAGAAGTTATAGGATCTCCATCCTTGGACCTTTTCAAGAACAGGTTGGCTAGATGCTTGGCTGGGATGGTTTAGTCAGAAATGATCCTGACCTGAGCAAGAGCCTGGACCAGATTACCTGGTAAGGTTCTTTTCAGAACTATTTCCTATCATCCTATGGTCCTCATCCTTAGAGAAGTAGAGGACATCCTTAACTATCAATGAAAGTGGTGGCAAATGCACTATCCCCTCTGGGATAACACACAACATTTATGCCACCACACCCCACTGTTGGCATTAAGAAGCTAAAGTTTTATTTTTATGGTACCTAAGTTTTGTCTTCCTTTGGCCTTTGCGTAACACTAGGTAACATCACACTGTATTAGTTGTGACAGACTAATCGCAAGCATCTTCCTTTTCATAAAGTGTTCTTCATGCCAAGCTTCTATGCAAGTTACATACAGTATCACTGAAAGGCGGCTACCTCTGGCATGGAAGACAGCACACAGCCCGCTGCTCGAGAGCATGAATTAAAAGAGGTTTTAGCTAATGGCATTGCTATGCCCACTTCAGTGACAAGTGATCAGGATTAGCTTTTCTTCAGGATCCAGAAACAATCTACAGAAAACGTCTAGAAAAACTTCAGTCAGTCAGAACTCAGCCCGTATTCATTCCCTAAAAGCAAGGGCAAAACACCTTTAAAGGAGAACAAGTGCCCCTTGGTTCTAATGAAAACCTAAGATGTGGGAGACCCAGGCTCAATTCCCCGTTCTGACACGGCCTTCCCGTGACCACGGACAAGCCACTTAGTCCCTCTGCATCTCAGGTCCCTATTTGTTAAGCGAGTGGTACCACCTTTGAAGGGGTGAAAGGAGAAGATATAATACATTAAAATAGAGCCTGTATCTTCCTTCTTTGTTTTCTGTATTGTTCTCTTATGCCTTAAATCCTCCGTATGTGCTATGACAGTAGTCCTCACTCCAGCATTATTAATGCTTCCAAGCAAACAGTCATTAACGCAACCAGTCCCTCGATATCACTCGAGACAAACACGTAGATGGTACACATTCAAACCCGCTGTCAGTGCTGAAGGAAGTCTTCCTTCATTTGCTCCTCTCAGGAGGTTGACACGTCCCTGAAGATATTCTATTCTCATTAGAAACAAGCCAACACCTTGGCTGCTATCCACACCCTGAAAATTAACTCATTCTTCCATTAACTCATTCTTCCATGAAAATTAACTCACTCTTCCACTTCAGTGCCCCATTTTTACTGTATTAGTGCCTGCAAAGTAAGACACACCGCTAAAGGAAATACACAATCCACTGCGACTGTTCTCTCCTTATTTCTGGTGTATTACATCATTCTCCAGCCATCACCTCCCTTTTGGGTTATCATGTTGCTTGCCTGCATTAACTCACCTCACAACTCCTCGTGCTGTTTTAAAAGCACAGTTAAACAGACACCAGAGATTTACTAATGTGCTAGATCACAATGTTACCTACCAGATTCTGGTTTATTGCTGTCACTAATATAAGATTTTATTCTCTTAGCTTCTTAAAACACAGATACACATTTTGATCATAAATATCTCAAAAGACGACACAGGGCCTTCGCCTAGCCATATTTAAGGTACCACTAAGTCTCTGGAAGCATTACTTGACCACGACAGTCTGTGATTTTGACTGCATGTACCACACGCTATTCTGAGGCAGGTCTTTATAGTCAGTTTGCTAACTAAGAAGGAGGTATTTCCATGGTTAGGGGAAAAGATGGCAGTTCTAGAGACCTGTGAGAATCTCTGCTCTAATATAAGTCCCTCTGTATCGTGAACAAGTCAGTCTGTTTATGCCTCAGCTTCCGCATCAGGAAAGTGGGCACAGCAGCACTGCCTGACTTCACATCAGCGTTTGAGGATTAATACTGTAGCAGGGCACTAAGGTGCCTGCTGCTTGGAAAGCCAGAGTAGTGGCTCAGGTGCTGGTGGCTAAGGGCAACCGGAGGGAGTTAAGGACACACACCTGTCTGGCCAGCTGAATGGATGGGGCAGGGCCTGGCTCAGACATAAATCGCAGGCCAAAGCCCAGACAGAGGGCAGCCCGAGGCCAAGGAGGAAGGAGCTCGGCCCTGAACGTGTGACAAGGAAAAGGCCTGGATGCGCGAGCAGCTAGTGACACGGGTGAGAGCTGGAACACCTGTGGCGTGGTTCGGAGGACGTTTTAGCCACGAGGCGTAGATCTGTGTTATAGCCGAGGGGCCTGCGTTTTGGTTGTTGTTACACCGGAGGACCGGGTGAGGCTATAAGGGGATGGAGGAGGCCTCATAGGGGAACCACAACAGTGTGGGAGCCCCAGCCCCGAGTGTGGGCAGCGACCGTGAAACCAAAAAGGGTGCAGCAGAGGGAGTGTGCCTCCCAGACTGCCAGAAAGGACAGTGCAGGGGGGGCATTGACCCAGAGCGTCCATAAGGGCGCAGCAAAGGGGGAGGTGTCATCCCAGAGCGCCAAGGCCAAGGCGCAGTATTGGGGGAGGGCTGACCCCGAGTACCCAGAAGGCAGAACAAGGCCGTGGAGAACCTAAGCGCCAGAGGTGCTCGGGGTGAGCGAGAAGCCCCAGAGAGGGGCAGCGACCATTTGAGCACCGTGAGGTGCAGTGCAAGGCGGGACTCCAGAGAGCCCAAGTGAGACGAGACTGTGAAGGGACAGAGCGTCAACAGGACGCGGAGCGAGGCAGGGCTGTAGAGCGCCCAAGTGCCAAGGAGACCAAGGTGGATCCGGCACGCAGCAGGAAACCGTAGCCAAGGGAATGAAGGGCAGCCTCCCTACAATAAATACGCAACATCAAAGACGTGGCAGGCAACATTCTGAGGGTGCTTGGAGAAAGTCTGGCACGGTACGGAGGGCACCCTAAGGTCCCATCCTGCTACAAATACATTCAGGAATGAGACCGGCACTGTCATCATGGTATAAGGGACCATACCATTGACAGATAAACGTCAAAGAGCAGAGAAAATCTTTATTTTGAGGGGGCTTTTATTCCCCCCACCCTCCCCCTCTCCACACAAATCCTTCAACTTACAATACAGGCTTTCACTTCTGTTTGATACCTAATACAAGAGAAAAGATAAAACATCTGATGACCAGACCCCCAAGGCATTTTGTCACCTGCCTGTAGTGTCACTAAACAACTGAGAGCGGGCACCAAAGCTGATGTTCAGCGTTATATCCTTTCTTCCAGCTGTATTCAGATAGAAGCAAGTTGGAATAAGGCATCTAAAAATTGCATCATATAAAGTTACAAGTGGCTTAGGCAAAGTATGGGCTTTTTCTTCCCTGCCTAGAGACATGTTGGCTGTTGCCCACTTTGAAATTAGACAATTTTGCTTTTCCAAGATGAGAGTTTTAAGATGCCAATATCAGAATTTCATGATTTCCCCTTGTTTGCACCTAGTTCACATCCAGGATTGATGTGTGTGAGTGTGTCAAGCATATGGAAGAGACAGGAATACAAGAAAACTAGAAAGACAAACTAGTACAGTGCAGCCTACTTGTATTTAAGCTAAATATAAGCAGGCAGGCAACTCTTCCCTGCTGCACTTGTCTACTTTGTTCTTGTGAACAGGCAGCATATTGGAGTTTACAAATGCTGAATGATACCTCTTCCCCTAGGCTAAAGTGAAGGATCCCTCTTGTGGGTTTGAGCTCTTTTTAGACATAAATGACTATTGACTCCCCCTTTACTTTGGTTTGAGAAAGCAGCCAAATATCCTACTTAAGGACCAACTTCAATGCACTCCAAAGTGACTGCCCAAATGATATAAATTGGTAATGTTTAGTTTTTAGCCGTGCCCCCTTGCAATGTAACACTATGATCTCTTAATTCAAATATTGTAAGACTGAAAGTCACACCAGTATGAGACTTGTCTTTGCTGGTACGAGTGTTTCAGCTGACTTCAGTGGGACTACTTGTCT